GAACCATTCTAAAGTGTTGTTTTCATCTTAGGATAATTTATTATGTCACTAATTTCACCAGGGAAGGGGATGAACATCATCATCAAGAGAAAAAAAATGCTCATAGAAAAGTTCTGTGTTCATAACACTGGCGTGTACCTTCAAGCAAGACATACACTAATTATTTCTCTGATGCTCATAACAATATTTATTTTAGAAAACACGAGTGTTTTGGAGACAGGTACCTTCCTTCCAGTCCCTGTATCCTAGGCAGGCCCTCTACTGGCAGCAATTAAAAGAGCACGACAGAACACAACCCCATAAGGAGTTCTGCCCCCCTTTGTGAACTGCAACTTATTAATAATGCAATCAGCTATATTAGTTAACGGCAAGTCACTAATGCAAGCATAGACTTGTGTGCCATGTTACAAAACCAGAAAGGCATTTCTACTAGTAACATTTTCAGAAATCTTCCATCCACTTAACCGTAATGCTCCAAACCTTGCTTTAAGCTGTATTTTAGAATATTTTGATGCACGCATGCCCGCACACACACACACACACATGTCCTGAAAGACGTGGCTGGGGCTCAGAGTAACGCCAGCAGAAGGCACACGTGGCTTCCGATGGCACCACTTTTCCCTGGGATACACCAACATACTGGTATTGCCCCGAGACTGGGCCCTTCCCACCTGAACACTGGAAACAGAATAATGCAGGTTATGGTCAGGCTCTGCAATCTAGAGTTGTAATATGGAACTGACTTGATTTTCAGAGATACTCCTTGGGGAACACCAACACTGACAGTGGCTCCTAAAATGCTGTGTCTGGAAATCTTCCTCTCCGCTCCGTACTCCACTATGGTCCCAAAGAAACCTGCCCTAGGACGACAGAACCAAAAGCTGGTAAGACAGGGAAGACTCTTGAATTTCTCTTCCCAGAATTGTGTGATTTCCCAACAAGTAAAACATGGAAACACATCTGTGTGCAGCAAATGTTGGCTACTGGAAGATTCACCATGTGACTACAACATGAGACCAGCCTTTTCAGCTTGTAAAGCAGTAAACAGGCTGCAAGAGCTTCCAGCTTTCTTACTGGTGATGATACAGAGGTACCGCACACAAGTACCTTAAGTTCACTTATCCAAAGAGGCACACAGAGCTCAGCCTCCAAGATATTCACTTCAACCATTTACCAGATTTAATTAATGACAAGCAAATTCCCAAAGGCCACAGAAGCATTTCTTTTGTGTGAAACCCGGAGGCATGCAACGGCAGGAGAGGGCATATTCTTCAGGCTATGAGCAACATGGGATTTCCCCTCTCACACTTACTTGAGAGAACCTTTCACTCGTGTTTGATCCTCATCCTGAAACTTATGCTGATAACTGACCATCATGAACGAATGGGGGATTCCCAGCTGAAATACAAGAAACACAAGTGTATGGAAATGTACGCTCGACCAGCATCGAATGTTTCCCGATTCCTTTTCTTATCCTTTAAATGGCACAGAAAACACTGCAACACTTGCCACTTACATATCTTACAGGAGGCAGCACCAACTGCTCCATCACCCGCCAGTCCCTGCCAAAACACTGCTGGGACGGGGGAGACAAGGCACTTCTCTCCCACGGGGCAGCATTTCCATCCCCCGGCGTAGGGCAACAGGGCTCTCACCTGTAACGCCACGGTGAAGTGGCTGGTTTTGGTATCCCGGACAATACTGGTGTTCATGGCGGACTGGATGCCCCACCGCCACTGCAGGTACCCCATCGTGTTCTTGTCGAGGTTGCGGGCAAGGACCGTGGTGAGGCCCGGGCGGACCCCACGGGACGAAAACTGGAGGGCACAGTTTGTAGTGATGAAACTAGGAGAAATAAGGAAAGCCTCGTCAGTGATGAAACACGGGTGGCCTCGAACTCCCTCTGGCCCAGAAGCGAATGTGAATATACTGTCCTGCAAAAAAGCATGATCGCTGAGGGTTTCAGGAAAAACTGAAACCTAATTTCGGCTGTCCTGAGCACAGCACTGCCCAGGAGAGCAGGCTCGTGCCCTGGTTTATTGTGTGTGCCACAACGATGCCGCGAGCGCTGCAGGCTGCCTTCCAGCACCTACCCTCGGCAGGTAAAATCCCGGTCTGCGGTAGGGACAGCGCACTTGGCTGCTGGAAGACAGCAGCTCTGCTACTTAGTAATCTTTAACCCTAGCATTAAAGGACTCTACAGGGAAGAAGATCACTATATAAGCTCTCAGGAATGGCATATTTATTAAACCGAAAATGTAAGAAGACCGAAGTCTACAGTGGCACCTACGATGCTCTAAGGTATGTCTGCAACCCCAACCCTTACCTTGTGCTCTCCTTTGCAACCTGACTTCTACTCACTTGTAAACCGACACCACACCAGTGGCAAATTGGGCATTATTCCCCTAAAATACGACATATCATCTCCTCTTCTGCTGTGAGAGATTGCATCTCACAAACAGAAGCCAGAGTAGAGGTCCTCAATTTTTTGTTCAGCTCTCACAGCAAGCTCTGATTGTGAGATCATGCCTCAAGTATTACAAATTCATAAGATTAAACACAAATCTAAGGATGTGGAACACAGACCTTGCTTAAACTGGAAGCACGAAAATGGAGGACACCCACACACAAAAAGAATACAAGCATTTTGATCAGTACTGAAGCATAACCTTATGGCTAAAGAAGAAATACCATATTTCGTAGGACAGAAAACAAATCCAGTATTAACATGGAAGAGAAATCAAGCTGTTTACTTCTTTAGTGTGGAATATTATCCATTACACCATTTTTCTGATATTTACCATCTTGGTGTAAGATTACGGAATATCTTCAGACCGAAGAGAGGTCCCTGAAGGTCTCCTGCTCCAAACTCCAACTGTTTAAATGCATAATGCAAATTGTTAGAACATCTTTTACAACAGCGACAAAGTACTTCACAAGCGTGAAGTTCCCTAAAGAAAATAAGCACTAGGTACCCACTTCAAGCAGCCTGAAACAGGCTGGGAATAAAAATGCCTAACAGCCTGTAGCTACCTCTCCCCATCCCTTGGCAGAAGTCACGCGTCTCAGAGCCACATTAATCGATCCTCCTCCATTCCCGTTCTGGGTGGAAAGGTTACCGGACAGTATTGCTGTGTCCGTGGCAGTCAGCGGTGCCTGAAAAATGAATATATTGTCACCAATTACTCTGATCCCAACTCACACATTTAACACATATCCTGCAAGGGCATAATTACGACTGCAGAGAGAGTAAGTGTGGAGAGCCAGGTCACGTTCCAGTCTACTTCTTGTCGTCCACCAAGCCCAGGTGTTCAGACCAGACAGGGTCACACCTGCTCTAAATCCCCCCGCTCGGCCCCTGCTCCGGAGGCGAGCAGCAGGCGCCCGCCTTACCTCGATGGACTGGGATATGTGCATCTTGTTGATCTCAATCTGGGGAAAGCTGCTCCCGGGCACGTCTTCGTACTCCTCATTGTAACGATCAAAGAGGTCAGTGGCATCTATTCCCACACTGATTGTTCCCTAAGGAATGACAAGTGAAACGAGTACTTGGCATCAACACGCATCCGACACGCACAGGCCAAGTGGCTAAACCATCCTTGCTTATGACTCGATTTTTTTTCAGTTTTCTCTTGTTCTGCAATTATCTTTTCCACGCTAAAATGCATTTCTCACATATCCGAGACAAACAAAAATGAACAACTACAATATTCTAACACAGCAATACAAATCATAAAATAAACTGGATAAAAGATAGCTTTTCAGCAGGGATGCAACTTATGAGTAGGTGATTTTTCTGTTGGGACACTTCACAGAGGTAGATAGAGCACTGTAACAGAGCAGGTTTACTCTTCCCCCAAAACTCTGATCTGTCATTATTCCAAAGTTGAAATAATGTATTTTAGACATTTATTTCCTTCAGTGGAAATCCTCTAAATGCTTTCTTCTTATGAGTTATCTGAGACAACTTCATTTTGAACTGCATCACTCGCAACTGACTTCACTAGTTAAAAAATTTGTTTTCTTCTTCCTAGTTTGTATCTTGTCATCAGAAGAAAAGCTTGACAAAGGTAGACTTTGCAAGTACTAAATATTTCCTTTCTTGGACTGCGGAAAGTCTTATTCCTATGTAAAACTAGGCCACAGCTAAACAGTTTGGCTACCTGCTGCTGTGCTCAGCCAGACCAACTGCAGGAGCGGGTCTATTTGAAAAGGGCACGACTGGATCCTTGTCTGGGTCACGTAGCCTCAGAGGCTTTGGAAACCGTCCCTTCAGGCCTATCAGACAGTGTTCCAGCCCATGTAAGAGGTACTGGCCGCAACAGAAACCAAACTCCTCTGTGCACCGGTACAGCAGGAACTCTGAACAATGTGTATAAAGAAACTCAGGGGCTGGTACTGGAATCACTCACACAGAGTCCAGCTATGGATGGGACAGATTCGTATTTCAATCTGAGTGAGCATTTTTCCTCGCTCGCTCCACTCTAATCAAATGCTGAACCATAAGCACAGGAAGAATTGCACAGTTTGACAGGACTGAAGACTTGTCTCTGGTTTGGCTCCCAACTATTTACTTGCTGTGGAGATTCCTGACCTCTTCCCAACGTTTATTTTTGATTTCTTAGGCAGCAAAAAATGGATAAATATTTTAACACAGGACGGAGCGATTGTTTCCAGAAGAACTCTGGAGCAGGGGCTGCGCCCCAACCCTTTTCCAAATTACTCTTGGAAGGCTGCTGAATTGTGACGCAATTATGTTCTTTGTTCCGTTTGTGGCAGCAGGAGTGATGAGCTTTTGCCCTTTATGCAGAAGATTGCTTTTCAGGAACCATCTGCAAAGTCACCTTCAAGGGATCTGCCCTCCAGATGCTACAGCTTCTTCAGTTTCAGCCCTCCCCTATGTTGTGCTGCACCTTGAAACGAGGCCAAACGGAGAGTCAGTGAGGCAAACCTGCCAACCGCCACACGCTGCTCCCCAGCCCTCTGGAAAGACATGGCACAGAACAGCCAAAGAGACATGGAAAGGGCAGCTTCACTCACTGAAGTCCAGCAAACACACTCCCATAGGGGTGGGCACTTACTTATTTTAACAAGAGAGAGAACTATTTCCTTTCTTCCCTGATGGTCTTTAATTCAAAGAAGCGTAAAACCCAAGATCTTTCTTAACAGAGGCAGGATGGAAAGAAAAGTTTTCTGTGAGGAGCACTATGCTCAGCGCAGAACCTTTACAGACTGCGACTTCAAATTCCAAGTTAAACATTTTTAAACAATGGATGTTACACTGAGTAGTAAGCATGCTGAACTTAAATGGCAAAACTGCAAAAAATCACATACTTTCAACTCAGACTGGAATGTACGTGGCAGTAAAGCTTTCTAAGAATTTGCATGGAAAACCCAACCACTACTGGAAAACATCTCACTCTGCTACATCCATGTGTACGCAACACTTGTACCCTTTGTAAAGATGCACCAACGTCCACACACGTTCCTGAAATTCGTTGCACCTCCTGTCTTTCGATCATACTCAAAATACTATGATTTCCTTTTTCACGTCTATGAATTTTGGAAAAAAAATCCGTCCCAAAGGAAAAAGCAAAACAGCTGAACCTATCCATGAACACCCGCAAGACCCATTCACAGGAAAGGCGTGTCCCCAACCCCTCCGCATCCCTTGGGACATCTTCTCTTCAGCCACCTTTTCCCGAAGCGAGCGGTGGTGGGCTCTGTGCGGGTATTTCACCTCCCGCCAAGCAGGTGAAGTCACCCTCAGAGGTCTACAGATCCTGGCAAGGAAACTGGCTTAGGCACAAGCACAGGAAAAGCAGCAGATGGCAAGGTTAAAAATATTCCCAGTGAACGACAGCACCCCCTATGCCACCGGATAATAGCGGGGACCGCTGCTGCTCGCAAGTCCCTCTCAGCCACCTGCTCCGAGCGCTGGAAATAAAACAGGCCCCCTCAAGGAGAGAGCATCAGGGAAGAAGCTGTAAAACTCTCCTCAGAAGTCGGTGCTGCACAGCGCAGCAGCTCAGCAGGGCAGGAAGCTGGGGAACGGCACTGCAGAACCATCAGTCGCTACCTCGTGTCGTCTTTTGAAATCACCTCTAGTTGCCATCCTGCGAATACGGAACAGACTGTACTGATGGAATTGAGAGGTGTGCCAGAGAAGAACATACTCCCTCCTCACCCTTTTTCTTAGGGATTTACCTTCTGGAAGGTGACATATGGAGGCTGTGCCAGACTAAGCCTTGAGGGACCCACATTTCTTAGATGCTGACCTTCCACAGCAGGAAAATAACAGGATTTAATTTCTCCTAACAGGAACCAGTTCTACTCAAATCAAGTGATGAACTTTTCAACCCTTCTGCACGTCTTTGAAAGCAAAAACAAAGCTCTAAAAGCAAATAATAGACTCAATTCGAAACCTGCCAAATTGCCTACATCTGGTTATTGCTCAACACTTCTGGTCAAAATGCTTTATTTTGCTGGAACCACTTTATAGAACTGACAAAATGTTGGAAATTTTAAAATAACTTGCGTTCTTGTACGGAACGATCACAGCTGCGCTACCTAATTCCACAGGAACACTGCCTGGAGAGACGTTTCTATAGGCTGCCAGTCAGCAATTGCTGTAAACACCCAGATGGTTAATTCTATCCGAGGACACAGAGGCTGAGGCTCACAATGAGCTCTGCTTTTTACTGCTCGCAGCTATGGCGAGGCGCCCAGATAAAATGTCAAATTCCTGAAGTCACACAGAAACACGAGGTGGAGATAACCATGTCCCTCTCCAACAATACCCTTCTGCCCCCAATCACTCTCATCTCCAGCAGAGACAGCTCGGTTACCTTTGGATTAGTTCGCTGCTGCAGTCTTCTTTCTTCCCTCTCCCTCTGCAAACGCTCAAATTCTTCCCTGATTTCAGCTGGAGTTCTCTTCCTTTCCACAACCTGCTCAAAGAGAAAGGAAAACCAAAAGGTTACCAGAAAGAGGATGTTCAGGGTATTGCACTGCTGGTGGGATGGAGTTTGGAAGCAAACACCCAGGTCGGGTCAAATGGCAGGCATGAGAGGAAGCCCCATGCTCTGGGAGAAGGGAAAATGGTCTTGTTTTTCTACTCCCTTGGCAAAACCAGGCCAAGTAGCTTTCAAACCACAAGTACAAGGTACTGCAGCACACCCGTCACCAACAGCTATCCTTTAGCTTCTCTACTAGGTGTAGACACAAAACTGAAAGTGACTGACAGCTTCTGGCCTGAGGTAAATTAATTGAGCGAGAGTTTTGTGATCTTAGGCTACACGGATTCACGGCTCAGGGAAGGAGGATTCTGAAGAGGTACGGCTCGAGGTATGGACAGAGAGAGTGCTGGATTTGGCTTTTGAAAGCAGCTCAGAAACGCCTGTTACACGTTGCCACTGCTCTACATCACTTGCTGCTCGGTCCGACCTTGACGCAAGGCAATGTTTTTCTGCAGGCCGCAGCGCAGCACAGTCAGCTGGGACTTAACGACAGGAAACTACAAATGGACAAGATGTCTTTCAAAACCCATAAAAACCAAACCAACAACGATGAAAAAAAAAATCCCAAAAAGCGCAGAAAGGAAAAGTAATTTTGAACTCGGAGGCTAGCTGACGCTGAAAAAAGAGTTTCAGATGAAAAAGACGAGACTAGATGGACAATAATGACACATCAGTCTCAGACAAAGACGTTGCCTGTTGCTGTAATATCCTATTAGGGAACCTGAATGTCAGGTTTATTGTTCTCTTGTCAGGTGGAAAAACCTAACTATTCTTTGAAAATCCATCACGGTGCTTCAGCAGAGACAGAAATAACAAAACAAGGATGCCTTCAGACAAACGGGCATTTATTACCATCAAGGTGTCAGCGCAGCTCAATACAAGAATGTCAGATAAAGGTGAGTTTAGTCAATTCCACTGGCCATAAGGTGCTAAATTTCTCTCACCTCCCATCCTTCCATCTCCAGTCCTCTCCTCCCATATATGTCATAGATGGCTCTGGTCTGTGGATCACTAAGCACTGCAAGTTAAAATCAAAAGAGAGGAGAGAACGCAGTTTTTAGTCTTCTCCTCAAATTTCAGACCAACACACTAGAGTTATTTGGAATTCAAGCACAGATCCTGGAAACACGTTCTTCTACAGTTGCATCCAATTTTTACATGCTGTATTAATACGACATACTGACTTTTCCTCCCAACAGATTCCCTTTTTCCTTTTTTTTCCTTTTCTTCTAAAATCAGTAAGTGAAAAGAACACAAGAGAGACATGCAGATTAACTGAATACGCAGCAAGGGGTTTTCATACTGCTTTCTTTGACACGAGCCCTCTCAATCAGTGGGGTCATCAGCAATTCGGCGGCAGCAGTCCCTGGAAACTTTCTGAGGAGGAATGACATCTACCTCTGCCTGGCTTTCAAAGCTCTTTGGTGCTTCTCTCCTGTCTTCGATCTTCCTCACTATCCCTGCCCAGAGACTTCCCCAGCCAGCCCAAACGCGTGGGACGTGCCAAGCACCAACAAAGCGATTTCCCCGTGGTGGTTCGTGCCTCACCAAACAGCAACCACAGGGTAATCTCAGAAATGCACAGAGAGTGTCAATCCCCCAGAAAGTCACCCAGTGCGACGGCAGAAATAAAACACAGCAGGAAACTGCAGAGAGGTTACTTTGGAAAAAGACTACATGTGGAATTGGGAAGAATCTCTAAAATGTGAGGCGTATTTAAATGCACAATCTCTGATACCACACCTCTCCTTAAAAATAAAATAATTAAAAATCATCAGTATTTTCCCACAACGTTCCAACACTGGATTTATTGTTATCATTTATTTCTTTTCACTGTGGAGGAACTGATGAGTCTTCAGGGAGCTGGGTGTGTATATGAAGGCAAAAAAAGTCTTATACTAGTAACTGAGCTTTGATCTAAACTACCCGAAGATAACTGAACTTGCTAAATGTCACAGGCAGATACTAATTTTTATAAATTCTCATAAAATAAATCTTTTGTTTTGTGATATTAAGAGATGGAAGAGAAAGGGGAGAAAATGGGCAGGAGGTGGAGTGACTTTTCTTCGAGACGTCAGATTTTTTGCTTGTAAAATATTACACTTACACATGGCACTAAATAAGCAATGATTTCTATGTATATCGCAACAGAGAGCCAACCAAGCCATGGAATTCAAAGGGAAAGCTGACTCTAACGTCAGACCTACTCACCACATTAAAATGAAACTATTGAAGCAATCTGAGTTTTTATTCCCCTGTCAGATGTAAGACCTTCAGAGTTGTCCCCAGCAAAAGCTTCCCTATGTCCTAACGCCTACCTGGGGTCCAGGGAAAAGACCGCACCCGTGTTCAAGTCCGACTGGAAGAAACAAATGCTTATCTTTCAGAAAACAGGAGGGTAAAAGTTTTTTTACCTTGTCTTTGAGGTTTAATAGAAGAATATTTATTCACCATTTTGCTCTAGTTTCTGATTAGCCTACAGGACTGGACATCTAGTCTGGTGCACCAGTTTTTTAATGCACAAGAGTCCCACCAGCCTCTAATCTACTCACATTCCAGATGCCTCATTTCATGCTTGGAATCTCATCCTAAGGAGCCACTCCCTTGTGCCTCAGTCACACTACGTATCACCTACAGTGACACCAGGATTTCAGTAAATGTCAGCTTAATTCAGAATATTTCTAAATGGTTTTGGCGTTCTTGGATGAGAAAAAAAAACTCTAACCACTATAAATACTGCTATAAAGACTTTGTCTTAGCATATGAAAGAACTCACTGGAACCAACAACAGAGACCACAACCAGGCGATAGAGAACAGAAACTCAGGATGCATCAGTTCAAAAAACATGAAACTGTCTTTCTGTTGTAAACTTTCCAGTCTTCAGCCTCTTATGGGAGATTCTTATAAGAAGTAAGGGAAGTGGTGAGAAGATTATTTACAACAGGCAGGAAATAAGACAGGAAATAATCTGTGTCTTGTTCTTTGCAGAGCTTACATTGTGTTGCTCCTCTGATGTACAGGACAGAAAGAGGAAACAAAGCATCGCTAAGTATCAGAATATTAATTATTACTTTATAATAATATATATCGTCTTCAAAAAGCACGAAGACATGAGACTTCTTATAGAAAAGCCCTGACAACAGTTTTGCAAACTTCAGACTCCCACTGACCTTCATAAGCCTGGTGAACAAGGTTAAAGAGCCGCTCAGCCTGGGTCTTGAGCTCGGGGTCCCTGTGCTTGTCGGGGTGGTACAGCATACACAGCCGGCGGTAGGCAGCTTTCAGCTCTTCCTGAGAGGCCTGCGAACAGCAGTGAAAATGAACGAAATTACAACCAACGCTATTTAAAAAGACCCTTCCCAAGATCGCCCTGAAAGAGAAGTCCATCATGGTGCTACTTTTACACACACAGAGTCAAGAATGGACTTTCATTTCACTGCGTGAGTTAGGAACATGTTCAGTTACACACACTGGTGTTTTCCACATTATTTACTCTTCAGTGACTGAAGCCTTCACAAATTCTAAGCTTTCACCATGGAAATAAAGGCCCTAAAAGTTTGTTTCTTGAAGTAACATCTTTCTTCCAACCTGTGGTAAGGAGAGTCGGGGTTTTCATCAAAGAAATGCATTCATTTATGTTCCAAACCTAGAAATCCGTTCAATTTTGAGGACAGCCTAGAATAAATGTTTCTCCGTGCATTTGTACTATTTCATGTTAATTTTTCTGCCTAATCTGCTGGCCCCAAGACAGTAAAAGTAGCTACGGATTAGCTCTTTTCTTTTTACTACCTTGTGCTTTCTCGAACATCGAATTTAAACTCAGTTGAGAAGGCAGAGGAGCGTATAGGTCTAAAATGGCATTCCTTAATCAAATTAATGATAAATGGTTTAATGTGCTATTGATTATATAATAGAAATGAGCAGTTTCATTTTTCATGAATGCTCCGTTCAATAAAATGTTAGATTGGGCCTTTCATCATCATTGAATAGCTCGGGTCATTGGCTCAATATTTCATGAGCAATAGCCTCTTAGAAACCGCTAAAGAAATACTGACATAATTTCAAATTGCAATGAAATACATAAGTCAGTAATAATCATGTGCAAGTTACATTTTTATTACTAAAATTCCAGGCAAAATTAGAAGGCATCCTTTCTCCCTACCTGGGACTTAAACAGCTTCATTTGAAGCCTCAAACATGCCACCAAATTTTAGTGGATTGAAATCTATAAAACATTAAACATGTATATACACACACACAGAAAATGACTGCTGGGCAGGATACTCTCCTCACCGGGGCTGCAAAGTTCAGGGGTTAACTACTATTTTAAGGAAAGTCACCACACTGCACAAAGTTGGCTCAGCACACAGAAATGCGAGTTCACTGCATTCCACGGCTACACAGGATAGTACTACTGAATTTAATTAGCAAGGGGTAATTAGCAAAGCAACTACTACTCTCAGTTGGAATTACTCCCTCAAAGACCATTTTAAACTTGTCTCCCAGCTGGACCAAACCCGAACGGCCCGTCGCTAGCGAAGGGCTGGACGCCAGGCACACAGTTAGCTATTACACCCTCGCCGGTGATCTCCCCAGCAGCCGCAGCCCTTGGCGGCTCCTGCTTCTTTCTCGTAACCTCTCCAGCTCCGCAGTGCTCACGCTCGGCAGGGTGAGTTACAAAAGCTGTCCGGCGATCTAAAAGCACGGCTCTCCGGTTTTCAGCAAGACTCAGGTTTGAGTGGCAGAGGATTTTTTTCTAAGGAGAGCAGGCTTTACTGCACGGCATCAGGGAGTTCTGCGAACAGTTACTATCACGTGTTTTTCCTGCAGAAATGCAGCAGATTTCCACAACTGAAACCCAGGAGACGGCCACCGAGGCCACAAGAACTGACACTAACTCCAAAGATATTATTCGCAAAGCTATCAGACCGAACTGCTTCTGAGTCTTGAACTGTTATTATATGAAGTCGTAATAGTTCTTCAAAAGCCCCTTTAGCTCAAATTGTTAACAGGTGGGCTGATGTGCTTGAACAGGGACGTCTGTTCGTATATCTGCACGGAGTACACACATGCTGCTATTGCATTTGATGAAACAAACTGCAGCACAGCTCGCACACTCAGATCTTTGGCAATTTATTATTAATTATTACTATAAAAAAGTATTTACCTCCCATGAAGTTCCAAACTGTTCCAGTGTAACAGAACCGCATCAAGTAATATCGATCTACTCTTAGAAAGGAAAACAAGGACCCAACCTGTTTCTGATCGGACGGGTGTCTTGAAGGAATGTGGGTGTTTCCAGTTTGGAAACACTCGGGCAGCGCTGACAGACGGGCAGAGCGCTCGGGGCGGGATCAGCACGGTCCCTGCACACACAGAGGCCCCTC